TGTAATGAATGTCCTTTACATGCTGCTTCAATGCCTGTGTTCTAGATGGAATCAACAGGCAGAGCCAGGAGACAACAGGTTGCTTGGTCCGCCAAATGATTGCCTCTGGATAGGGGCTTGGGGAGACCCAATGAGCACAAAGTGCCCCAGAAAGAAAGGAAACTTCCTAACTCTTATGAAATAAGTTAGTTGTCTAAATAAATTGTCAATCTCAGAGATGTTCTTAATTTGTCTCTAATAGTGGTACTGAACCAGCGACATAGGCATTGCCAGTATAAATGTTAAGTGATCAATTTGGAAAGGCAGTAAAGGCAGCTATAACAGCATGTAATTCTGTTAGTTGGACAGATGAGGCCCCAGTGTGAAAACTAGTAACCTCATTATTCCAAGCATAAGCAGCTACTCCCATGGAGTAAACATCAGTATACACAGTCAATGCACCTGACATAAGATCTAGAAGAGTATTTTTTTGGAAAAACAAATTCTTGATGATTGGCAAAATCAATTGACTTATTAGGGGGATAATGGTTGTCTATCTCCTACGTAATTGGCCAAGGCTATGGGCCAGCTTTCTGTTGTTTGTATAAGCCAATTGACCTGTTCCTTGGTATAAGGTTGGATAATAAGGTTTGATTCATGGCCAAAGTAAGACTTGACCTACTTTCTGCCTATAAGAATAATATCAGAGACCAACTGAAAATAGGGATTTAGCACCCTTTTGGAGCTGACTGGTAAATGGACCCATAATATTGGAGCAGTTTGCCAAAAAACAGCAGTTGGAGACTGGACTATTTTGCAAACAATGGGCCACAGGGGGCAATTGTAATCAAGAAAAGTAACTGAGATTGTATGGTTTGTTCCACCCAAGTTATTGTTTTGCGGCCTTCAGGTGAGAGTTGACGAGGTGAGGTGGGATCTGAATTACCAGGGAGAATGTCATAAAGGGGTTTCAATTCATCTTTGCTAATTTTTAAATAAGGTAGAAACCAATTAATATCTCCCAATAATTTTTGAGAATCATTAAGGGTATGAAACCCATCTAATCTTAAAGTAATTTTTTGAGATAAAATTTTATCTTCAAACATTTGAAAACCTAGATAAGTATAGAGATCTTTTAGTTGTACTTTTTCTGGTGCTGCCTGTAATCCCCTTTTTAATTAGAGTATCAAATAACCCTTTATAACAGGATAACACTTCTTCCCCTTTTTGTCTTTCTAGAAGGGTATCATCCATATAGTGTATGATATACATCTGTGGCCATGAGTCCCTAACCAGGTGGATGGCGGATGCTACAAAAGATTACCAAAGTATAGGACTATTAGCTATGCCTTGGGGGAGAACCTGCCATTGATACTGGCACATGGGTGCTTGAAAATTTGGAAAAGGAAGACTAAAAGCAAAGTGTTTTTTATCATCTGGATGTAAGGATATAGTAAAATAGCAATCTTTGAGGTCAATTATGATCTTAAAGCATCCCAAAGGGACTGCAACAGGGGAAGGGAGACCTGGCTGTAAGGCTCCCATTAGGACTATAGTTTTATTTACAGCTCTAAGATCTTGTAAAAGGTTCTATTTTCCAGTTTTCTTCTTAATAACAAAAATAGGGGTGTTCCAAGGGAAAGTGCTAGGTAAAATATGACCAGCCTCAAGCTGTTCCTGTCCCAGATGTTGAACAACGGCAAGCTTCTCTGAGGTGAAGGGCCATTGATTGACCCAAACAGCTTCATCAGACAGCCATGTGATTTTATCTACATGGGCCACAGGACAATCAACGGTCCCTAAGAAAAATATCCTAAGCCTGTGAGATCATTTTTGGGCACTGTAAAAATAGGCTGCCTAATGCCAGTTTCATGTTTGCCCATGCCTTTACCTGGTGTGAAGTCATCTTAAACATTTGCATGGTCACAATCTCATTGGGGCTACGCATGATCTGGGACAGTAAATCTTGACCCCATAAATTAACTGGAAGTTCGGAAATAACATAGGGCTGCATTTGTCCAGAGTGGCCTTCAGAATCTTTCCAAGTTAACAGTTTTGTACTACGTTGGGGGTTTTTACTCTGGCCCATGCCTCATAGGTGTGTTAAAATCTCTTCTAGTGGACAGGCTGGCAGCCAATCTTCTCCTCTGATGTCCATTAGCCCAGAAAATTCTTTGCTATCTAATTTTAATTTCATAGTGGGCTTATTATTAGATATGACTTCCACTCAATATATATCAGAGGACCCAAAGCAATTGGTGCCTCTCTTGTTAGTTATACTTTTGTTATCAGTGGACAGTAGGGGGGAGAATCAGAAGCTGTGCAAAAGGTTGCCCTGATGGGAGAGTATTAATTGCAGTGGGAGATGCCACCATAACCTTGATCTCTCACTCATAATGATTATCAATTATTCCTAGAAAAATTTGTAAGCTGCGCATGGTTATGCTGCTGTGGCCAGTAATTAGCCCAAATGTTTTTGGTGGCAGCGGACCAAAAACCCCTTTGGAATAGCTTGCACACTCATTTCTGAAGTTAAGACTGTGTGGGTAGTGGAACTGAGGTCCAGTCCTGTGCTGCCTGGTTTTGCTCTGCAGAGGGTTGAAATGGGTTGCTGTTTGCTGGAACAAAGCTGATTGCCCCATAAACTTGTGTGGGTTTGGGAGCCTGGGGCTGGCCCCTGTACTCATTTCCCTGGTTGTTATTGGGAACAAGAGGCTGGCCCTGTGCGTCAGTTTTAGATTGACACTCAATGGCTCAATGTTTTCCTCTCCTGCATCTTGGGGAAAGTCCTGGGGCAGGGGCTCTTTGAAGTATCCCCTTTTGATTTTGTGGGCAGTTTTTTTAAAAAGTGGCCTGACTCACGGCAACTAAAACATTTGTTTCTGCCCTGATTAGATAAGAACTGTCTAACAGTAGTGCCTTGTGTAGCAGCTGCCATGGCAAATCCTTGCGGATAAGCTGTGCCTATCTCAGCACAGAGGTGAATATAGCCAGAAAGGTCTGGTTTTTTACAGTATGACTGAATTGCTGCTTGACAGGCAGAGTTAGCATTTTCAAAAGCCACTATAGATCTGAATGTAGAACAAGAGGTAGAAATCCAGTGACATTGATTCTAAAAAAAAACAAAACAAAAATAAAACACTGCTTTTTTATGGTTAACAATAAGCATAAATAGTAACCTATATAACACAGTGATTGAGAAGTTGAGGTGAAAGGAAAAGTATAGGCTAAGTACCCCCACGGCCAAGTTCTCAGCACAAAGGAGATTTATTCACCCCAGAGGGAGTAGAATAAGAGAGGGAAGGGAATAAGATACAAACATAAGCTATAGAGGACAAGGGAGGAAGCGGCAAGGATATTTGTTCAGAGATAGAAGAGAGACAGAAGTGAAAAATCGGAAAATGGTAGTTATGAAGGTACAAGGTGAAACGCCCATGTTAGGATGTGTTTTGTTTTAATGAGATACGATGATTAGGTGAGCCAAGCAGGGCTTTTGATTGCTTGACCTTGGTGATCAGCCTCAGGAATGAGTCTGGCAAGAGAAAATCTCCAAATAAGGGGCTAGACCTTATGGCTAGCTTTAAGGATGTACTTTATAGTTTATAAGGGGGAGGAAAGGAGGAAGCGTAAGGCCCATCAGCACCATGTTTGCTGAACCCTGGCCTGCAGAGGTGGACGATAACATATTATTTGTGGTAATAAAAAGAGACAGATGTGATATACAGGAATAGGTTACAAACTTTTCTTCTGTTTTAAATTACTCATCAGACATTTGAAAACCCAAGTAGGATGCTTTGGGGGAGAGGGGGCATCTTTAAATCCTGATTATAAAACGCTCAACACATAGGAGCAATGGCTCTGGGCTTTGGAACTAGAAAACGATTTTTAGATAAGACCTCAGCAGTACAGAAGACAAAGAGAAAAACAGACAAATGAAACAGACTAAGAAGTTTTGGAAAAAATAAAGGAGGAAAACTTGAGGAGAGACAACATGGAGAAGGGGCGATACTTGTCTGCCATCCATCTGAAAAGGGTTAATATCTAGACTATGTTTGGAACTCCACAATTAAATAACAGAAAAATAGCATGTATCAATTAGAAATGGGCATTGTATATAGCTAGGTAGTCTTGAAAATAAACCATGCAAATGTGTGCTGGGTAAATGTAAAAATGTTCAACATCATTAATCATGAAGAAAATCAAAACCAAAATCACACTGAGATATTCCCTTACCTCACTAAAAGTGGGTTTTTACCAGAAATACAAAAGCTCCTCAGAAAATTAAGAGTAGAACTTCCATATGGTCCAATAATCTACTACAGTGTGTCCAAGGGACCACTGCACTCCAGTGGCACTGTCCTCAATACTCAGGAATTGAAAACTCTCTGAATGTCAACCAACCGGTGAGTTGATAAAGAACACACAGTAATCACACACAACTGAATGCTATTAGGCAAGAAAAAAATGAAACCCTGTACTTGTGGTAACACAGATGGAACTGATAATCCAGACAATCCCTTAATTAAGAATTGCTTCTCAGGTGGCTTCTATCAAGATGGCTTTGTCAAGTTGATGGTTAAGATAAGGTAGGATAGGTATTAAGTCACAATTAGTGAATAATAAAGTTATTTTCAACATTTAACTCTATAGTCTGGTCTGTTGATCATGTTCAGGGTGAGAGTGCATCTCACATTGTTGGATGGGAGTCCAAAGCCCATTTGTATACTCGGGATAAATACTGATCCACTGCCCAAGGCTCAATAGATTACCTAGGTCTCCTCACCACACCCCCATTCAGGGGATCTTTATCAGTCCCATGCTGGAATCCCAGGCATCAGCCTGGGATTCAAGAGCTAACCCTTGTCAGGTCAGTTGTTTTGGGGGGTTAAACCAGCCCAGTCTTAATCCCTTTAGTCATCAGTCCTCCCTCTCTGTTACTGGCTTTCTTGAGTTCAGATAAAGCATGAGATAAGAAAATATCCTGACTTCCTCCTTCCCTTTCCAATAAAAGCTTGGAGAAGTACTCAGTTCCTAGGTTGGCATCATGGCTGTCCTGGCTTCCTGGGTCTGGGTACTGGTTGGCTGCCTTTCTGCTGCTGTAGCAGAGGACCCTAATCTCTCATCTCTATATCCTCCTTTCTGGGAAGACTCCACTGGACAGTTAAGTGGTTTTACTTTGGAGGATGGAAAGTACATAATAAACCCATGGAAATTCACTGATAGATTAGAATTGTATAAAATCTTACTGAATAAGACAGCCCCATATTTTGCAAAATATGGTCCAGAAAATGAGCAAAATCTTTTATGGGGATTGCCTCTGCAGTTTGGATGGCAGTATAAAACAGGTAAGAAATATTCTTACTCTCTTATATACTGATACATGCCTGAGGTATTAGGAAAGTGGGATTCTCCATGTCTTACATTGCTATCTAGTTTTATGTCAACTTGACACAGGCTACAGACATTTGAGAGGAAGGAATGTCAGTTGAGAAAATAGTTTCATAAGATCAGCCTGTAGGCAAGCCTTTGGGCATTTTCTTGTTTAGTGACTGATGGGAGAGGGTCCAGCTCATTGTGCGTGGTGCCATCCCTGAGCTGTTGGTCCTAGGTTCTGTGGGAAAGCAGACTGAGCAAGCCATGAGGAGTAAGCCAGTAAGCAGGTTCCTCCATAGCCTCTGCATCAGCCTCTGCCTCCAGGTTCCAGTCCAGTTTTAGCTCTTACCTTGGCATCCACCAATGGACTGTGATTCAACACAAATAATCCAAATCCTCTGTTCTCCAAGTTGCTTTAGATCATGGTAACCCTAAGACACCCACATGTATGTGTCTCTTTGAAAACTGATTCTTTTTGTTTACTTTTTAACCTCCTCATAGTCATTGTCTCATCTATTCCTACTTGTACTTATCCACAAATCCTTTTCCCAGGAATTGGTTGTTTCTAACAGGCACGTCAAAGACAAATAGGCATAGAGACCAACCAAAGGTATTCATCCTTTCTCTAGTTTGCTGAGTATTTTCAAAATAGTTACTTCCCCACTGCTAACTACACATTTCTTCCTGTTTCTGTGGTCACAAAAGGGGGCATTCATTAAAACAGGAGTGATGTCTGATTATATTGACCTTAATGTGATTCCTAATTGCAATTGCCTGATCATAAGCATGAAATTATAAATGAGTGGTTCCTTGCTAATGGTGAGCTATGTCAATGGTTGCTTCTTGGAAATCAAGCTCTTTTCAGTATATGTACATGGAAGATGTTTGGGGGTATAAAATGTATAAAATGATAGTTATTTTTGGCTGACAGAAGACATGTGTGAGGAGATTGGTGCCTGATACCCACCCTGCACTGCCTCCTCATTGCTCAGCAAGTAAAAACAGAGGGAAAGGGGAAGGGAGAAGGGGAGTGGTGTCAATCTTGGAGAAAAAGATTATTTTCTGATATGTTGATTTTATGTAATGAATAGTCAATGTGTAAAATAATTCAGATAACTTGTTTTAACTTATGTAGAAATCTCATTGGTATGGAATATTGTTATCTCCACTTTACAGTAAGGTGCAAACTGGTACACATGTGATCATGCAATTTAGAAAACATAGACCAAAGGTTTGGTTTGACTCCTTTTCTGTGAGTGACCATTGCTCCCACGATTTTTATTAGGACTAGAGAAGGCAGGAAAATGTGAAGTTATGCAAGTAAAACTGTCTATAGCCTATAAATTAAAAGTCAAAAATTTGAAATGACTGAAAATAGAAAATAATTTGGTTGAGAGATCAGAAATAAAATATTAAAAAGATGGTAAATAAAATATAAGTAAATTGGGAAATTTTGTACCTTAAATTAAATGCATGTATTTAACAATTTTAAATGTGTATAATAAACAAATTCTCTGCCCTCTAGATAGATTAGTTGATCCCACTGGAAGGACAACCTGTGGCTACGAAAATTTTGACGAGCTGTGTGTGTCTGTGAACAGTTGGTGGGCTGGTAGGTTCACTTTAATAACAAAATTGGACCTTTGCATCAAAGAATACATTTAAACCCAAATCGTCGAGAGAGATGAACTGAAATAGTTCTGCAACTTTTGCAGGATAAATCTGCTTCATCATATGCCAGTGGCCTTGAAAACATGTGGCAAAATTGACCAGTCAAATAATTTTTAAGGATGTATTCAGACTTTACATAGAAGGATTAAATCAAGGAACTGAAAAGTTATGTCCTCTAGGGACCACCAGCACTGTTAGTGACATGACAGGTTCCCAGAGGAACATGCAATCATTGAAGGGAAAGACCAAGATAGTAATTCTTTTCCTTTTTGCTCAGAAAAAAAAGTCCTTAATGCTGATACAAATTTGCCAGAGTAATATTATACTTTGTTTGGCCAATGTATAACTAAGGCTTTAGTCATATATGCAACACTAAAAACAACTTGAATATATTTTCTAATTCTTTTATGATGTGTTTTGGTTGGAAATTAATTTACATAGAAATTTATTTTAATAATTTTCCATTGATTAGAAATGACATTGCATTAAATTTTACATTTGGGGGGAATGACTTATAAGTAGTATGAACCACTGGGTATTTCCCTCATGCTAAATTGAGTCATTCTTTCCAAAACTTACAAACAGACTTGTCAACAGCTCTAGATAGCTGATTGGTTTAGTAATTTGAGGTGTCAAGAATGAGTACAAGCCAATTACCTTTCTAAATTAAAATGTTTAAATCGGCTGGACTTTTCCTCTATAACTGCAAAGTTTGAAGACAAAACTTCTTGCCTTAGAGAAACAGGCAAAAGCCACGGTGATATGATGTATAAAAATTAGACTAACTTGCAAATCACAAAATATGCATTTTCTGAATCTATGATAATGCTCAATTATTTTTACAAAACGTTAAAATCAACAGCATAATCTCATTGAGAACTGTACCATTCTGTGAACAATTTGACAGTTTTTCTTTCCTTATTTATTTAATGCTTTGAAACAGGATTGTTATCCAATCCATTAATATTACTTTTCTTAAAAGTATTATAATACGACCCTTTAGTGGGTATATATACAATCATGATCATAGGATTATTAAAACATAAGTTGATTTTCCTCACTATTTTTAGTTGATAATTTTTATCATCATTAGGAATCTGTGAATTTTCCTTAATAACTTATGCTTCCTCAAAAATGTGTTCTGGAATTTGTCACTGGCTGTGGTGTGGGGTTAACCAGCCTTTTGTTTTTACAGATGTAAATTATTTTTTGAGTGTGTTACCTTTCCTTGCTGCTGTTGATTCGGGCATATTGGGGATATCATCAGATGAATTCACCATTTTACCGCCACCCCTGGATGAGTCAAGGTTTTGTTATAACGTTTCCGACTGCAAAGAGTTAGTCCGTGAAACAATGGACAGCTGGTCTACATTTTTTAAGGTTCTTCCTTTAAGTTTTATATCATACTCCTCAGCCATGCAGAGACAATGCTTTTTGTGAAAGTATTTTGTGAAGGATTGTTTTTGTGTGTTGTATCCTTTCCTTAATATTAAAACATAAATTGTAAATAGATTTTACTTGTAAGTAATGTAGAAATACAGTGCATGCCTTAGAACCCACTCATCCTTCTCATACAGTACTAATACAAAATTCATCTGTTCTTACTGCATGTAATGGGCTACTACAAATGGTAAGGGCGCAGGCCACTTTAAGAGAGCAAATAAGCTCATGAGTAATTGGGAATTAGAGCATTTGTGAAACATTATAAGAATCAGGGTTACAGCCTTGTTTGAGAATGTTCTATCAAATTACTGAAATTTAATTAATAACCACTCATATGTAGGTAGAACTAAAAAGTGACATGAGGTTCTGAACTAACCATTCGATGACCAAAATCAAATACATTGGTCAAGCATAGAAGAAGCTAAATGTCAGTGATTTAAACATATATTCACTGGTTTTTTTGAATGGTTAATTCATTGTTTTAGATTTAATTTTAAAATTTTTTCTTATCACTGAAGATGTTATGAGAATTTTAATAATGTTGACAGAAAAAAAATGTCAGTGGGTCTGTCCAGTGTAAAACATGGACATTTTGAAGATATTTGAACTAGATGATATGCTTTTCTGAAAAGTACTGGATATTCTCCCCATTGCTGTTAGGCACTAAGGTGTGGCATGTAGGAACAGCAATTTCAGTTCATGCTGACTGTTGCTCCTATCTCTGAGTCTGGTGGAGTTTGAGGGAGAGTTGCCTACATAACACTTTTTCCTCTATGCTTTAGTACATGCAGTTGCCTTCTAGTGACTTTGATGGCCTTTTGCAGCACTTATGGGCTGCTCATTCCTCATCCTTGGAGTATCCTATCGGTGTCTTTGATGACAGGTAAGAAATAGCTTTTATCTCTGTTTCAGTTTGATGCTTTTCCATTGCTCTGGTTAAAAACCATGACCAAAAGCAACTTGGAAAAGAAATGGTTTGTCTCAACTTACGAGTTATAGTCTGACATCAAGGGAAGCCAGGGAAGGAGCTCAAGCAGGAACTTGGAGGCAGGAGCCAGGAACCATGGAAGAATATTGCTTACTTCAGCTAACTTTCTTATATAAATCTCAGGGCTACCTGCTTAGGGATGGCACTGCCTACAGTGGCCTGGGTCCAGTTGCCTCAATTAGCAATTGTGAAAATGCTTCATAGACACAGATATAGGCCAATCTGATGAACTCAATTCCTGCATTGAAACTCCTTCTTCCCAGGCATTTCCAGGTTTGTGTCAAGTTGACTAAAACTAACTGGCATGGTCTTATTCATTTCTTTTCTTTTTCTTTTCGAGTAATTGTGATTTTTTATTTTAATAACAACTAGTGCAATCACTGGTGACAATGGTGATAAAGGGCAAATTTGGAATATATTTTAGGGAAGTGAAGAAAAGAATATCTGAGAAACAGGAGCTGGGAAAATAGCACAAGTGGTAAATCCCTCCTATGCAAGCACGAAGACATAAGTTCAATTCCTAGAACCCATGTGAAAACAACCAAGCACCATGGCATGTATTTATCATCCTCATACATATATGATACATGTTACAACTGATGAAAAAGGCTATGAAATTGTTAGAGAGCTAGGAGAAATATATAGGAAGGCTAGAGGGAGGGAAGAGAAGGGAGAAATGATACATCTTAACTTCAAAAAATAAAAGAAATAATAAAAAAGCAAAGAAATCTCAGTTCCATTCAGACAATCTTGAAAAAAAGGACACATTTAAGTGTGTTTTTCCATAATGTCAGAATTTATTGAGTACCAATATGTTTTTTTGGTAGGCCAAATTTGTTGCTGTAATGTACTTTGTACTACTCATTTTTCTTGAATATTATGGCCATTGACAGTCATGGTCTCTTTAACTTAAATCTTAACTACTAATATTCATTCCCAGGTCATATGTTATCTTTCAGATGCCTACCTATAGAGAGACAAAGAGAGTCAGTCTCTGTAGATCCTAAGGAACTCAACCATTGAGCTGTTGGAGGTTTGCAGAAGCAGGACTAGTTCAAAGCTGATGGGACTCAGGATGAGGAGCAGGGCCAGTCTGGTCACTCAAGTTGTTAATTTCAAGCAGCAGTTACCTTGCCAAACTGAAATCAGGAACAGTCAAAAGTTTAGAGCTTGCTGGTAAATCCCATAATGCATTTGTCTAAAGCATCAGTAATTGCTGTACCATTAGTTTTCCTTTCTCATATATGCTCCTGATGTGAGGGTTTTTTTTATCATTTGGTGGTTTGGCATGTTCAATAATTTCACATGATATGGCTTTGACATGCCCATGTGTTCATGTGTTCTTATGTTGATAAGCCTGTCAGTGGTGATGTTTTATGTACAAACAGTTACTATCAGTTTGAGCTTTATGAACTGTACTGGTCAGAGGTGACTGTTTGCTTCACAAAAGGGTGCTGATTTGTTCTGCCTCAAAATTATACTCAAAATAAAACAAACTCCTGGCTTGTAAAATGAAATTGCTTGAAGCAAGGCACAGCCTGAAAACTACTGTCTTATACAATGTGGAGCATCTTAAAGCAAAGTAATGTGGGGATCCTAACTTCACATGGACCATCTCTGACATCACTTCTGTGTATAGGTCCCCTACCCCTCTATCCCTTCCTTCCTCTTCCTTCTCCTTTCTCCATTTCTTTCCTTAAGATGTTTTTCTTTTAATGGTGCTGGGCATTGAAACAATTCAGGCCCTCATGCATCCCAGTAAGCCCTACCTGGGAGCTGCAACTCCTTTCCATACCCTTTTATTTCATTGCTATCTTCAGATAGTGTCTTGCTATATTGACCTGACCTCGTTGTCAACCTATACCATAGTGTGAACTTGAAGCTGTTATTTTCCTGCTTCAGCTTCTGGGATAGCTGAGATTATAGTCATCTGCCACCAAGCCCTGCTTGCAATTGCCGTGGTTTTGTTCAAACACACTGATGTAGTCCTTTCTATTTTATTTACGGTTTCAGGTATCTGCTTTTGAAACCCCACAATAGGAAGTCATGGGTTTAACTTATGTGATTCCTACACTATGTATAACCAGTGATCTCTGGATAGAGTGGTCCAGTGATGCTATGTTGATACTTGGAGCTTACCTTTTCGTGGTTGAAATCACTATTTATATTATTGCTGGGCACTTAAATCTATCAAACCTGCCATCTTAGTTTCCCCTGCTTCAAAAGAAATTAGGTAACAGAGTTGGTAGTGAAATCAAATGTATGTACACTTTGGCTCAACAGGGGGCAGACGTCTCCTAGTTCTTTCACGTTTCCTGCAGCCATGTTACAGCTGTGGAGAATGAAAGAAAGAAAGAGAGAGAGAGAGAGAGAGAGAGAGAGAGAGAGAGAGAGAGAGAGAGAGAGAGAGAGAGAGAGAGAGAGAGAGAGAGAGAGAGAGAGAGAGAGAGAGAGAGAGAGAGAGAGGAAATACAGATAAGTCAGCTTACCTGAGGATCTGCTTTCAGAATTGCACGAAATCTCTTCCTGACAGTGAGTTTGTCCTGTTAGGCTAGGCCTTCATTACAGCCGTTTTTCCTGGGGGAAATGTATTTCTCTGGGGTCCACTGGCTTAGGATTCCTGTCTGAACATCTTCGGTTTTGATACTTTCCCTCCCTATCTTATTGACCTTTGAGTTCAACCTCCTCAGTGATTTTTATTTCCTAATGTTGCATGTCTATAATTGCTAGTCACTGATCAGACAAACTGAAGAGTAACCTCCTACATTTGTTCAAAATGTCACAGATTCTGTCCATACACTTCTTTATAATGAGGGCTACTTTAGAGAAACTCATTTGTTCCCGTCTTTCCAGGTGGCAGACATTGAGCCTCTGACGTGCCCTCATTTCTCAGGACTCTCTCTGCCTTCCCTCTGTGTCATAACTTCTATTTCTTTACCATTCTTGGTGTGCTTTGCCTGCTAGGGTTCATGTTCTGGTCAACTGAAGATGGGTGTAGAGTCAGTGAAGATATCTGAGACACTTTACATATGCCTATCTTTATTATTTTATTTTCATTGTCTGAGGAGTTAGGTGAATACAGGAACATGTGGAGTGATTTTCAAAATCTTGGTCATTTCCCCCTCTCCTGTCCCTGAATGTCTAGTTTGGGGGAGATTGAGAACAGCCGGACTCCCCTTTGTGCACCTGTCCTTTGCTTTGGTGTTTTTGCTTGATTTTTCTGCTTGATTCTCTGTTCTGGTCGCTTTTATGTCCCAGAAGTCCCCCACCATATCTGGCTAAGTTGGTTGTCGATTAAATTCAAAGAGCAGGATTGAGAGAAGCAGAGTATTTCTTAGGTTTTGTACCATGAACATGCCAGTAAGGAAATCTTCCAACTTACTGGCCAAGCAACTGTTTAACCACTGACAGTCAGTGGCCCACACTTCAGCCTTCCACTTGAGCTAAACTGTCCTGTAGAACAGAAACTTTTCAGTCCCAGCTGCTGAGAATCTCAAAGTCTGCTGCTACTGTTTTCTTGTGTGTGTGTGTGTGTGTGTGTGTGTGTGTGCTCATGTGTGTGTGTGTGTGTGTGCTCATGTGTGTGTGTGTGTGTATGTTGTTTTTTATTTTTTTCTTTTTTAATTTGAGAGGACAAAGACACTTGTGTTTATATCAAGGGAAGGCTTACCTTAGGAGCTGATATGTAAGAATCAATGTTTACGTGTAGATTTTATGAGCTAAGATACAGTTGACATGTAACAATGCACACAGATTCAGGTATTTATTCAGCTGAATGAACATTGGCAACTGAAAGCACTTGTCAGACCCCCACCTAAAAAATGCAGGACATTTCTAGTACCCTTTCTAGAACATTCCTTATGTCTCTTATTTTCCTCTCCTTAAAAACTTCCTTTATTGACAGACTCTGGAGATCCCCATGGAGGGCTTCATCCTCCCTGGGGAACGGAGTGGGGATTGGGTGGGAGGCTGGGGGGGCTGGAGGGGACGGGGGAGAGGGGAGGGTGAGAGCTGGGATTGACATGTGAAACAGGCTTGTTTCTAATTTAAATAAAAAAATTAAAAGATACATATAAGCAAGGTTGAAACAAAAAAACCTTCCTTTCTTTTTAAAAAAAGCATAAATCATATAGAAGTTAAACTTCTCAGAGATCAGAAATAACTTTTGATACATCTGTCTTCTAACTCGAGGTTAGCCAGCACTAACAAGCACAATGGATCTTTCCTTCCTTCTTTCCTTCCTTCCTTCCTTCCTTCCTTGTTTTTCTTTCTTTTATCTGTTAAAAAAGATCATATGTATTCCAAAATGGCAGCTGAAAAAGAGGCTGTTTCACACCCCCATTGTGAATTGCAAGCATGTGACACTAGGCCTTATTTGTATTTGTTGTTACAGAGCCAGACTGTATTATTTAAACATGTCTTTAACGTGTTTGTCACATGATTTTCAAATATAGTGTTCCTAGGAATGACATAAATGGAAAGTAATATATTAAAAAGAGGTGACTAATTAAATAACTCTTCACAGGTTTAGATTTAAGCTATCTACACAATTCCTGAAAGACAAACCAAATTCGTGGTACTATTGAACTTCCTTTTAAAATAATTTTATTTCTGGGTACTAGGTGATTTCTACAAAGTGAGATTTTAAATTCTGAGGAAATGAATCATAATTGGTATTTTTGTCTATTTGTCTTTTAGATATGCCTATTATTCTAAACAAGAAGTAAAGTTTGAGAAAAACTGGGTTATTGCTGTACACTACATAGCTGCGGTCTACTTTCCTACAACCCTGAAAAGAACAAGTAACTTTCAGAAGGCTCTGCCTCCACGTGTTCTTTCTGACAGTGACATAGCCCCTTTTATTGCTGACTTCACTTCTCTTCAGAATACAGTCCTACTGTCACTCACGGAACTTGGTGATATTGATAGACTTACAGGTAAAAATTTTTAAAGAATACTGGAAAAAAACAGAACTGATATATTGGAAGAGTACATACGCAAATTTAAGTAGAAATACATTCAGTCAGCATGCACTAAAAATGTATGAGTTCCTATTGATGTATTTTGCATTTTCTTAAAAGTAACCACTCTTGGTAGATGGTAAGACCATTGAGCAACCACAATTATTTGACATGTGACCTGTCCCTTCATTTGGATGCCACTTTGAACCTTGACACTTGTAATATCAAGTGAAATATAAAACAGAAAGTCCACATACAGTCATTATTTCATTCATGAAAGCTTCTTTTTAAATATATTCTACTTTACTCTTAAGTCTAAAGGAAACAAATGAATTCCAAAAGAAAATTTGTCATCATTAATGAGGTTCACCTGACTCATTGGATGCTTTTAATACAATACTACTAGTCAAGAAAGAAGACCTTTGTTCCATAATGACAAAGCAGAGTGATAAACAGGCTTCGTTAAGTATTTGAAGATTACCATGTTGTCCCATTTTACTCTTATGTTCTGGGACCTTTAGCTAAACTAAACATGTATGCTGTTACTATTTTGTAAAGGGAAAGATTTTTGGATCCCTAAATTGTAAATGAAATAAACATGAGTGTATTATGTTCAAATTTGTAGGAAACTTTTGACTTAGACTATAAGATCCACCAAATGTGTTAGTGCCTGTTGATTTCTGTCCTCACCTCGTCCTTGGTCATAGTGTAATACTGACAGCCAGCAGGCAGCATACAACGAAGAGCAGGCTGATCTTCAGCTGATGGATAATATGTGTAAGATTCGTACTAGAATCATCCTGTTTTCTTATAGACATGCAGTATTTTTTAATGAATTTAGTCTGATTATGAAAATAGTTAAAGGCCATGAGTGGTAATACCAGATCATCCCATGTACACTTTTTCTTATCATTTATGATTCCACAACTTAGAAAGCAGGACACAAAACTTTCAGATCAGGTATGGAAAAATGATAATACTATCAGTGAAGTCAATTTTTCTTTGTGAAATGATTATTTCAATGTCAATTTTAGTGAAAGCAAATGAAATAAATTTGATCAATGGTTATTGCCTAATGGAACTAAGAAATGTTTTCAGGAGTTGACATGCACTCATTTTATCTTTTCTAGGATCATTATCTCTTAATGTTTGGAAAACTCTCATGAGTTCAAAATTTGTAAGGGAACAATTTCTAAAAATCTCTGAAGCAATTCTGGAAGCACCTACTTCAACATCATTTTTTCAATGAACAGTTGCCTTTGAGCCACAAACAATTAAAAATAATGTCTTTGATCACAATCATGTAGGCTTATGATTTGGGTTTTTTTGCTTGGTGTTCATTTTTCAGGATTTTCCCTTGTGCATTCTTAGTATCAATTTTTCATAATAGTTCTTAAATTTTAAATTCTGTAATACAACCAAATCACAAAGGATCATTAAACTGACATTAAGCACAGATGGCTGTTTTGATGCTACTTTGTGTACTGTAGTTTTTACAAAAATGTAGAAAAATATATCCTACTGGTGTTTAACCAAAATTCAAAATATTTTGAAATCAAATACCAACATTCAACTTCAATATTTAAATCTCATAAAGCTTAATTGCAATAGAATCTACTGACTTACCATGTTTGGTTTATGATTTGCTAGCCTTCAGGTTATAATTACTTACTAGAGTTCTTATTATTGACCCACATTTGTAAAGACTCCTTCAGGGTCAAGTTTCTCATGTTGTACCCTTTTAAGAGAGAGGTGCACTGGATTGACTTGATGATTTTCAAAGGACTCCTCTGTCTCACTGATCCAGACCTCTCCTGAGTCTGCATGTAGACAAGAGTGAATGGTTGACAACTATATCATCATGTTTCTCAAAGCAAGGGCTCTACTTCTCAGAGTCAGTGTTCTAAATTGTTTACAGCAAGAAGAATTGTAGCAGAATATACAAGAATATACAAAGGAAACATTGTATTATGTATAATATATAAGAGAAGCATTAGATAAGAGAGAAAGGATTTATTTCTGTTCACAGTTTCAGAGAACATAGTTCAACATAATGGGGGAAGTCATGGCATCACAAGCCACAGGATTGGATGTCTGGTGCCTCTAATGTGGAGATAAGAGCAGGAACCAAAGATTATAGGACACCAGTAGGGTAAGGTTATAGCTAATAAAGAGCTATTTTCAGTGACTAAACTGAACATCTGGGCTACATGACTTTAAAATGATGTCACCAGCTAGAGACTACATGTTCAAATACAGAACTACATGTTCCTCCTCTGGAGGAAGTTTCCAACTCAAACTGTAACAAAAACAGAAGAATGAATGTGTATAAAATTAATGATTCAGTTGAAAATAAAACGCAAGAATGGGACCCAGGATGTTGAAACACACTAGCATCTGGAGAGGATGATAAAGAGACATGTGCCAGCTACAAACCAAAAATGTAGATTTTCTGTCCGTTGTCTAATGTTCCTAAAGTGTCTAATGTGTTTCTTTCCCACGAATGCTTGTCACGACTCTGATTTCCTGTAAGGAAGAAAAAAAAATCCTTTCCTTTGACCAACTTCTGACTCCTGACATTTTGATCACTTCAGTGGTAACATGGACATTTGAATCTGATACACATTTTGGTGACCCAGCCCAGGAAATAAAACTGTTTCCCCTGAGTCATGGCAGCAAGGTTCTTAGGTTCTCTATGGAGGAGTCATGATTATTTAGGAAGAGGAAACATGGCTGTCATTGGCAAGCTCAACCTATGTGTGGAATTCAAGGGAACTTGTTCTCAAAGGCTACTGAGAATTTTTGTGTTTTAAAAGTGGAGAGCCTCCTGTCTTTCCCTCCCACATCACTGACTTACGAAGTAGCATGCTGCTACAAGCTGCAAGATCACACAGCAATTATGCAGCCTTAGTCTCACAAGATAACTTAGGAGAATTAAGGATTCTTCTCATGAATGAAACCAGTAAAAAGCTGTAACTGGCGTTATAATCTTGTGAATGATTTGGCTGTGTCTTGCTGCAGATTCTTCCTGTAGCTCATTCCTTTCTGTAACAAACTTGGGATTTACTCCCACAGTTTAGCACCATCTGATCATTTACTGGTAACAAATTTCTCCCATGCATTTGGAGTTTCACTGATTATACTCCCTAACTATGTGTAAATACCTGTTCTCCACTGGAAGGCACCAGGTTTTTTTTTTTCTTGTGCAAAGTAAACTTAGATTCCCCTCTTTGACCTACAGCCCTAAGTAATTGATGCTAAAAGTTTCTCCTAGTAGGTTTAGTTTATTGAACTTTGTGTAAATCTTATCTGCCTTTCTGACCCTGAGAAACTCAAGCCTCACATCCTATTGTAAAAATAATTACTGTTGCAAACCTGTATCTATACCTTTAACCCCAAGAACTGGGGAGAGTTAGAAAGAAAAAGAAACAGAGAATTGGAGAGACAAAGTTTCTTTGAACCCTGAGTGAAAATTTTAAAAGCTGGACTTCTAGAGTTTTCAATAGTATGTTAGTGTATGTAGCAAACAGTATTTAGTTTTCTGTGATGCTGATTACCTCCACCCATGCAAAACAAAGGTTATATTTGTCCTCTAATTCCTACCATTTTGGCATCTGGATAGCCATATAGACCTTTCTCAGATGGTTTGCTTTGGTGCCAGCTGGTGTAAGACAAGTTATTTCTAACATTTTTAGTTTAGTGAGGTGTATGTTCCTTTGCTCAGGTCATTTTGATACACTAGAGGACATGACAGATTTTGTTTCTTCCATCTGGAGGAGGTCCGGAGACTTTTTTCCACAGTTGATGTGGTATAAGATTTAGAAGACTAATAAAATTATGAGCATCTTTCTCTCTGATGAAATCTCCTTTGGTAACTTCTAGTGGAGAAGCTGGGATAGGGAATCCAAAAGCAACCCACAGAGCAGATAAAATTTCTTGCTTTTATAAACCTTAGGAAAGGGATAAGTTACTGGAGCATCTTAGTGATGGTATTAGACCACATATAAAACTGTAACGGATTGATTTTAGTCTGGGCTTCAGGAAACTAAGATCAATGCCCCCACCTTGTGCTGGGGCAATTTTGTGCTAAGAGCTTAGAACTTGGGTTGTTTTAGGTCTGAAATGGGAGAGAAGTATAGTTGGATTTTAATTTGGGCTGCCAGCCCAGAAGTCCTGCCTACCTATTGACCAGTCAGCTCTTTATTAAACCAATCAGAAGGTGCCTTGAGAAAGATACATCTTTACAGTGTACAAGAAGATTATCAAGCAGAGGAGCTTGGCTGTTTCCTTTTAAAGTATAGTATCATCTGTTATCGAATGTCTTAGCTTATATACAAAAATAAGAAAATTGACAGGGCTTGAGAGACGGCTCAGTGGTTAAGAGTATGTACTGCTTTTGTAAATATATGAGTTCTGTTCCCAACACCTTTTGAAAATGTGGTTACTGTCATAACAGAGATCACAACTGACATCCTTCCACCAAAAGAAACTAATGAATCAAGGCTGTGGACTCAGTTCCAATCCCACTAGGGAGTCCCAGACCTAGTGCTGAGATCTTTGGTACCATGAGCAAGGGTTGTGGAGAATTAAAGCCTAACCCAGAGAAAAGAAGCCATTTCTAGTAAGGTCAGAAACCCATAAAGGAGGAGCTAGAAATAGGGGAACACTAAAATGGAGAGGCTACTAGTACCCAAGCAGAAGGGCAGAAAGCCTGGGAGCAGAGCACAGGTCCTTTGGAGTAGATGCTGAGTGGCTAGACAGAAGACCTCATCCTCAAATCAAAGAAACCCATGCTGCTTATCTCTCAAGCACTAAGGTTGCCATACTGCATATTTTAAATAATAAAGATTCACTCCCACTTCAATAGAGAGATACGCCATGAATTTAATGTGAAATACTTGTTAGTCATGCTAGTCTGTCACAGTGAGGAGGCAGACAGGAGATTCAGCAACATCCCTCTGTCTTCCTCTTTGTATTGCTAGAAGACTCTGAGGTTCAGAAAGTTCTTAGTCTGACAATGCAGTAATGAACTAGTTGATAAAAAGGGGACCATAGACAGCCAGATTTATTTCAATTAGACAGAACTACAATATACTCCATCATTGAAGAGGTCTAATCCAATAAGAGGCAAAGGTAAGAGAACTGAGGCTTTAGGAGGTCCTTTGTTTTGTTCAGGGTGAAAGTGTGGCGTTCTAATCTGTATGAAGGTCATGATGTCATTTAGCCAGGGGCTTTTTCTTGAAAAATAAGGACGACATTTCATTGTCTTCTCCCAAAATGTCAGGTCAAATTGGGTCTGTCAATCCTGTAAACAGGAAGGTGTCACTCAGTGGGGATTACAAAGATGAGGGAATTGAGGCAAATTGAGAGATTCTGGGGAGAGAGACACTTCTAAATCTCTCTGTTGCTTGAAACTGGCTAAATTACTTTTCTGTTTGTTTCTTTTTTCTTTGATTTTATTTTCACATTGTTCCTTAAATGCCTATCATTTCCCCTGGGGACCACATCATAACAGTGAGTGCAACAATGCATCCTGGCAATTAGGGACAGTCAATATTAAAGCATGGACTAGTTAACGTTTGATGTCTATAGAAAATAAAAATTACCAGAAGGAAGGGGGAATTATAATAATCAAGTTAGTGATTTGCATCAGCCCAGGGAAGAGACTCAGGCAATGCCAAGAACTCATAGAAAAGGGACCCTAGTCATGACTTCCCTACTGACATATACCAATATCCAATGGTCTTACAATTTGATAATGATCTTTACAAATGATAAAATAAAATAAATAAAATAGTCTGCGTTTATGGAGCCCTTTTAAAAGCTAGTGAGTGAGACCAAAACAGGAACAATATACTCCACAGGTTTTTGTTTGCAGTTAAGTCAGCTAAGAATAAGTTTCTGTTGTTCTGTTGTCCTGTGGTAAGTTCTTGCAAGCTAAGGTCTCTATTTGTAAATGAGTAAGTCCCTAAAGCCCAGCTGTGGTAGCACACGCCAGCATTCTCTGGCACAATTGAATGGTAAATGGTCAGACATACTCCTTGCAATGGTATGCTCTTTGGTCAGTGTACCCTTTCCACATATAGACAGTACTTCCATGATAAGATCCCACATCCACTGTGCCCTTCTGTAGCTTCTTAATCCTTTGGATAGAGGGAATTCCTATCTGAGTGATTAAGCAGTTAACTGCTAAATGAACCCACATGAAGATTTAGAATATCTGGTGATGCCTGTAATGCCGCATCTCTTTTTATATGTGTAACAACGATCATTTCCTGTTGTACCAACTAACTCAAAGGACATGAGTTAACTTGTGGAAGACTGGTGAGTCTGTCTGAAAAGGAAACGAAGACAACAAAGACAGATGCCTAGATGGTCACAGCCAGAATATAGCCTTCTGCTACAGTCTCCCAGTGCCACTCCCTCTATTCCTCATGGCCTTAAGCTCTCATCACA